TTAGGGAAAAATTTATAATTCAATTAAAAATTATAATTAAAAATTATATAATTAAAAATCACTTCATTGATCATTTAAGCACCAACTTGTACGTCTTCCATATTTAAAATAGTTGCATAGTGCGTGGTTGTGTGTTGTACCGCACGTGCTCAATCTCCTCCCATTATAGTATTTTTCGCCTCAATTACAATTCGTTCTAAGTACTGCATGCGCTGTTCCGCAATCCCGTCACCTAATACAGGTGGAATGCGAATTGCATTTTTAACGTTACTTTTAATTTTGGACCAGATTGTTTCCACCGGGTTCAACATTGGACTGTAAGGTCCCAAACGTAACAACTGAGCTGGTGAATTATCAAACACCCTTTGCAAACGAGCGTGACAAGGAGCATTATCTGTTTCGACGACCAAATCCTCCAAACGATTCCTGGATGTAACCCACTGGTGAAACATAGCCAACATCCACTCGTTACACGAATCTGCTTTAAATGATTCCCTGCGAGTTTCTATCATGACGACATTTGTAGTTGAAATAGCTGCAATCAAGTGTATGTTTAAACCTTTTGAAGCAGGTACTTTCATAATTGCTCTTTTTCCTTGTCTCACGCGTCCTTGCGTTTTTCTACAAAAAAGGTTAAAATTTGTTTCATCCAACCAAACTATCTGACGACCATTTGTGATATGTTCGTTGATATTTCTAACATATTTCTAACATAGCTCTTTTTTGTTTGTTTTCATAACTGTTCATTGTAGAAGGCTCCTTGTGCACTTTTTTGATTGAGAACAATCTGCCTTCAAGGTAATTTGCTATTGTTGTTGTGCTAACGTTTATGTTAAATTGTCTTAATATCTTTGTTTTGATGGCCACCAATGTTAATTGACAATCATTTTCAATCCATGTTAATGTTTCTTCGATTTGATCTTCGGTCAACTTTTTCGGTTTAAAACCTCCTTTTCCGATAAAATTTGAATTTCCGCTGCGAACCCAATTGTATGCTGTCTTATATTTTATACCTAGCGTTTGCACGAGATTCACCCAATCTTCAAATCGCTCCGCACATTCAACAACTCTTCTCCTGTCATTTGGAGAAGATAAAACGTAACGTTTCCTTTCAACTTGTTGAGTTGTGTGTATTTCATGCCGACAAATCGGACAACTTGAATCTGGTTGTTCCAGAACTGGACGTAAACAAATTTGGTGACATAAATGTTGACACGAATTTAGCTTAATCACAGACTTTCGGGTCATAGTGTATTGGCATATAACACAACGATCTTTCAATTCCATTATTATTACTTGTGCATACAAAAGCAAAGTTTAAGATTATAACTTAAATTCATGTCAAAAAAGACCTTTTGTAACAACCTACAAACTTAGACTGTGAATTTGCTATTTTAATTTATGTGTTCTCAATTACAAGTTACGATTTCTCAATTACATATAATGATTTCTCAATTATATCTGACGTTTTCTCAATTACATGTTGTGTTTCTTAATTACATGTTACGACTTCTTATTTACATGTTGTGTTTCTCAATTGCATATAGCGTTTTCTCAATTACATGTTGTGTTTCTTAATTACATATTACGACTTCTTAATTACAACTTTCATGTTCTCATTTACATCTTGAAAAGGTGTAGTTAACTAAAATTACCCGACTATCTCTCTAGTTAACTAAAATTACCCGACTAACTTTCTAGCTAACTAAAAATACTCGATTAACTTTTAGCTAACTAAAATTAAGCGACTAACTTTTTAGTCTAACTTAAATTAGTCGACAAACTTTTTAGTCTAACTAAAATTAGTCGACTAACTTTTTAGTTAACTCAAATTAGTCGACTAAATATTTAGTGTAACTAAATTTAGTCGACTAAAGCAAGATTTAGTGCTTGAAAAAAGAAATAATCTTTCGCATAAAAATATTACACACGAGGAAGCATTATTAAGGCGATAAATACTATTTTATCGAAATTAAACACTTTACTAGTTGTGAATCCTAGAGCCCAGTCGAACTAAACTGTTATTTAAAAGAAATGTTTTAAGCAAAATTCGATTATTTTAATTTTTTCCCAGCTCTGAGACAACTGCCTATGAGGTTGTTGCAACTGTTTACAAACACCTAATCAGCATGGAATATACAAATAATGCCCTTTAGTCAATTACATCAAATTTGGTACGCTTATTAAACGTTTAACTTATATTTTTTATGTGCTGCTTCTTGTAGGAAGTGTGCAATAACAATCGCAAATCAAAAATAATTTCTCCTGCTAAGGCCGTACTGACGTGAGTATAGGCACCTTACTGGGGTTACAACATTCTGTCGGTTTCGTCGGTAATTTGAAAAATTTGAGACTCAATCGGTTAAAACTGCAACTTGGCTTTTAAATAAAAAAAAAGCCCTACTTTGGTGAGATTTTTATGGTAAAAAAGCTTTTTTCATTTACACCCCCCTTCCTTTACGTCTTCGTTGTTCAGTACAGCCCTGTCCCCTGCTGTATTATAGGAATAGATTCAATCTCTAACTTTCACAAAAAATCTATGACTCCCCCTCCCCACCTCTTCAAATATCAACCTCTCCTAACGGCTATTACAACCCGCAAATACTATAGTAAGGCAGGCGAAAGTATTGACATGAACCCAAAAGAAAATCGTTAAATAAGTTATTATGAATTTTTTTTTTTTTTTGCTTTCAGAGTATAGTTGTTCGTCGGTTGGCGATACCTGCAAAATTTAAAAGGAAAATTGGTATTTGCATTTTTGAATGCAATATCCAAAATATAAGTTGTTGAATAGTGTATAAAATGTATTAAATAATACTTAACTGTTGAATAACGAAAACATTTTTTTAAGTAACTGCAGTCGCTTTTAAAACCAGGAAATTGTTTATGACATTTTAATTACTTGAAAAATGCAATACGTAGTTTTTAAGCACTTTAAAATACGTGTAAAACCGGGTCGAAACAATTATAAATTGTTCGAATACTCAATTTACGGGTCGAAAAATTATAAAAAGTTCGAATACTAAATTTAATAATATTTCTTTTAAAATAATAAATATATTTAAAAATATTTATTACAAGAAAAAAACTTCAGTATTATATTTAATGAATTTAAACTAAATTAAAAAATTCCAAATTTTCGTACAAAAACATCAATATTTGAAAACATTCAGTAGTTATTCTGTTTTGCTTTGCATACGTAAGTATAAGTTTGCATACGTTTTGCTTTGCATGCATAAGTGTTTGATGCCTCAGAGAAAAGTCGTTCACTTAGTGCACTGGTAGCAGACGTACAAAAAATCATTGTTGAAATACAAAACATTATTGGATATACATGTTAATTTTGATACCAAAAGTGTAAAAACATTTTGCTTATTTACTGACAATTTTATATAACTACTAATTTCTCTTTTTAAATCTATACTTATTATTTTGTCACTATCGTTTACGGAAATATCATCTTCATCGTCAAATGATATCTTAAATTTTTTTAATTAGTTTGTCACCTTTTTAAATAGACTTATATCACAAACTTTTTTTGTTTAATGAAATTTTGACAAAAATTCTCTGACACATTTAAAAAAATTTTTTCCCTTGTACTTTTCAAAGACTTGAAAACTTTTATAATTTGGATCCAAAAAAGTGGCACAAAACCAAGTAATTGTAATATACTGTAGCTTACAGGGCCGGCACAAGTAGGTAACACGTAGAGAGTGCCGTTAAAATTTTACTTACTAGAAATAGGAAAAAAAAATTCTTGTTTTTATTTACCAACTGACTGTTCTGAAAATCTACATTTGCCAACTTACTTATCTAAAAGAGTCAAATTGGCTTACTAAATGAGCTAAAAGTTCATTGATGGGATGTCACACACGAAACCAACCAATCCATCCTAACACCCCTTTGCGTTGGCCTTGGTAGCTTATTCAACTCTATAAATATTTGTGTTTTACTATGTTTACTTTTTGGATTTTTTATGAAAAATTTTCTTGAAGTATCTTGTTTATAATATTTTCTTGAAGTAAATTGTTTTGATATTTTTTTATTTTTGCGGTATTATGCGATAAAATGATTATGCATTCGCAATCTTATTCATAGAAATGATATCATGTACCCAAATTGTTTATATTATATATTTATAAAATTCTTTAGTTGGACTAAAAACAAAGTCGCGTATATTTAGTTAACAAAAAGCTTAGTCGGTTAATTTTAGTCAACTAAAAAGTTAGTCTGGTAATTTTAGTTAACTAAAAAGTTAGTCGACTGATTTTAGTTAACTAAAATGTTAATCGGGTAATTTTAGTTAACTAAAAAGTTAGTCGGGTAATTTTAGTTAACTAAAAAGTTAGTCGGGTAATTTTAGTTAACTAAAAAGTTAGTCGCGTAATTTTAGTTAACTAAAAAGTTTGTCGACTGATTTTAGTTAACTAAAAAGTTAGTCGACTAATTTAAGTTAACTAAAAAGTTAGTCGGGTAATTTTAGTTAACTAAAAAGTTAGTCGAATGATTATAGTTAACTAAGAAGTTAGTCAACTAATTTTAGTTACGGAATTTTTAGTTTAGTTAGTTACAATTTTTAGTTTTTGTCACAACACTAATTTTGTGCAAAATTTGTTTACAAGTTTTGAGAAAATTTGAATGAAATTAAAAAAAATAAATTAGAAATTTAAAAAAAAAAACACATTTAATTTCAAAGAATTATGAAAAAATAGACAAAGTTGTTTCTTAAGTAAAATGTCTTTCTAATATAAAGTGTAATAAAAACAAACAAAGTTGTTTCTAATATCTATAGTTTCATTTAGGGGTTTAAGTTATTTATAATTTGAATTAACTGTTTGAAATATTAACAGGTATTTGTTAAAATATAATTAAACGTCATAAATATTGTACCAGTTGCTAACAAATTATAAATAAGCGCATGTTAAGATGATTTAATGCAATTCACATGTTTTGAAATAAATTAAATGAAGTTAAAGATACTTTTAAAAAAGTAAATGAAACGAAAGAAGCATGAATAAAAGTAAATGAGGTGAAAACAACTTGAAAAAAAAAGTTTAACAAAAAGTTGTAATAATGATAAAAAAGAAAAATTGTTTAACAAATCGACCTTTTTCTTTGATTTTTTTGTTTTTAAGCCAGGTTGAAGCAAGAGTACAAGACCAAGTGTTTTACTGGCCAATAAAACCATTTATATTTATGAAAGATAATAATACAATAGATGGAATATTACCACTTTTGTATAATCGATTAACGGAGCTATGTAGTCCTAACAAAAATCTAGCTCGCTATATATTAGTTAATGAAACTTTTAATCAAAATAAGTATTACAAAAGTATAGAAAAAGCATTTTTTGATATGCAGGGTTCGCCAAATATAAGTAATGCAATATGGTTCCCTTTATTTATTTGGCCGGATAATATGTACTTGACTCCTTATAATGTAAAATCACACTTATTTACGTTTTCTCCAAATATTGGTGTTATTGCTAATAAAAATAAAATAACAATTACAAATAAAATTGTTGAATCCATCAAAAAAAGTTCTTCAATTGCCTTGCATGCTGTTGGTTTTATTTTGATCTTCGCAGCACTAGTGTGGTTAGCAGTAAGTATATTTATACTTATTTATTATATTCTAAATCTTTTTTTTTTTACATCTGTCATGTTAAAAAAAGCTTCAAATTATCGATTTGTTTTGCTAAAATTAAGTGATAGATTACCTATTTTTAAAAATTGGTAGAAAGTTCTAGAAGTTTTTGACATCTTTTTCGTATATTTCGTGGGTAACTAAAATGAGCGAATTAAAATTTCTTTATTTCAACTTCTAAATATAATGAAAAATATACCACTTTAAAAAACATGTGCTTATGCAATACATTTTAAGTTTCGGTTAGGTTTATCAGCGGCCAAATAAAGATATTGACAATTGCAGGTCATTGTTAAAGTCATCAGCAAAATGTTGGGTTAAACGCATTCGTAACGGCGAATAAACGTTGTAATCTATATTAGGCGAATAAATGTTTTAATCCAGACTCAGCAAACAAATAAAATTAGATTTGGTATAACGAATAAACTTCGTTAAAAAAATAAGCAGCAATTTAAAAAAGATTTGCTGTCGTGAATCTTTTTTAACTTGTTAGGAATTTTGAGGTGTGTTTATATACGTAAGAATTAATTGTTTTTTTAATTTTTTTATTATATTTATTAAAATAACCATTTAATGCACCCACAAAATTGGGTAGGATAAAATTGCAAATTGATGGGGAATTGAAAGATCTAAAAAAAAAACAATAATCATGGCTATTTAAAAGATTTTTAAAAAACACAAATCAATAGGTAATTAAAAAAACAAAAAAATAAAAAAAGCATATTTTGTAGATTGTAAAATGAAGATTTATTAGATAGTGGCTAAAATGGGGCAGCTGTGGTACTAATTGAGATGACGAAATTCAAGTTTGAATAAATGGTGTTTAAAACTTATTAAATACACCGAAATGCAATTTGTGTAAGCGTAACTTACTCATCGGAGTATAGTTTTTCTTATTTTTTTGAGTTTTTTTAAGGCAAAATTTATATTTAAATAAATTTTATAGCAATCAATGTATAGTTTACATGATTTTATTAGTCTGTTTAATTATAATAAGTTGAAAGCTCCATATACAAAGTTGATAATTAGCGCATTTATATAACCCAAGTTAACGTTTTTGTAAATAACTTATAAATTTTCAACTGGAAATAGCAAATTTAGCTTTGCAATGGCTTTTTGACCGTATTAAAAAATTATAAATGAATAAGGCTTAAGTTCAATAACAAAAATTTTTATCTTTGACAGCTTCACATTCTTTTAAAAAGAGGAAAGAAAAAGATATATATAATCAAAAATTTTAAAATTTTAAAAAAAAGTTGTTATTTTGTATTAAAATTGTATACTTACTTATTCAGAAAAGGATTCCCTTAAACTTAAAAAAAATATATTTGCAAAATGTATTTTGCAAATGTAAAAATAGTTTGCAAACTATTTAAATATATAAGAGCAAAAACATAAAGGTTTTCTAAACTATTTTATTCACTCTGCTTTATTATAGGGGAGAAAAGGAAGACTTCGGAAACAAGGAGAGAATGAACACTCCAAAATCTCCTACCCTAGTAACATTAGGACAATGTTGCCTATAGTCTATATGTTGGTAGACATACGCTCTTTGCTTTTAAATAGTTAGGTGACAGTTTCTCGTTGAAAATAAACTTTAGAGTGAAAAAACGTAAGACTTTCTGTGATTGGTTCTTTAATGTAAAATTTTCAATTTCAAGTCAATCATTTAGATCCTAGTTATGAACTCAGCCAGAGTTAGTGCAATTTTATTTAGAACAAACGGTTACCTAAGGACGTTGGGAATGTAAGTATTTGTAATTTATATATGAGTTTGTAACAATTGCCTTTATTTTTTAAGTATATCCCTTATGGGGAGACTTCGGATAATTTGGATATTGGCTAAAGTCTTTTCCATTGCTTTAATAAAGGAAAAATAACAAATCCTTATAAAGAATTATTAAGAATTTGTAAATTTCTATTTGCACAATCTTAAGGGTCAATGATAACCCGATAACCCGAAAACCATAGATAACCCAAAAAAATAGGCACTTGCATCTGCAAAAAATGCAAAAATGGCAAAGAATCTTACAAAAAAGACAACCAAGAAAAAGATTCTACAAGAAAAAACCTCTAAAAAAGCAATCCTTTGGGAATTTTTGTCAGATGAATCATTAGACCTAAAAATTTCAACAATTGAGAGTACATAAAACCTTGATGACGATAGATTCAATGACAGCAATGCTGATACTTTTAATGTGCCGGAAGGAAGACTTTTATTTGTAATGGTATATGGAGGTGTAAAATAGTCAAGTCGTAATTATACAGCAAAAGTAGATAAAAAAGTAAAAGATGGTTATGAAGTAGAGTTTTACAAAAGGAAAATCTCTTCAAATACTTATAAAAACTAATGAAGAATTAGCATTCATCGCCTTTACCGATGTAGTGCATTGCCAGTTCCAATAGAAGACAATAGTCCTCGTTTTAATATATTTTAAGTGCAATTCGGATGAATGACAATTGCAATAATTTATAAATGAAAAATAAACTATCATTATTGAAATTTATTTGTTTGATGTGCATAATCTTCCTTATACATGTCCTATATACGTATCCGAAGTCAACTCGCATGAGGGATGACTTTGGACATTTGAGTGAGGTAACTTTATTAAGTCAATATTTTTGAACGCTAAGAGATTAGTTTATCATTTTTACAATTTATCAAATTATTTTAGAAAAGTAAAAAATACTTTATTCACTTACAGCAATCTCCTTGGGGGTAGTTGTGTCCAAAAACTTAAGGCTTTTTTGTTCCAAGGCCCGAATTACCGCATTTTTTGAACTCTTAAATGTTCTATACTTTCATGTAATGTGTATACATTTGTTAATCAAATGTTATTAGTTTATCGAATATATTAAAATATAAAAATAGTTTAGAAGAAAATTTTTAACAAATATATGTTAAGAAATGATTTAAACGAATAATCTCTTTCGAATACTCTTTTGAATATTTATATATATATATATATATATATATATATATATATATATATATATATATATATATATATATATATATATATATATATATATATATATATATATATATTTTTTTTTTTTTTTTTTTTTTTCTTTTCTTTCTTTCTCTGTTTATATAACATAAGAACTTTACAAAATCCACTAAACAATATGAAATTTAACAAAATAAGTAAAACAGATAGGGGCTCAAAGAAGATGAGGATGACAGAACGTCATCGCAATCTTTTCATAGAACCCTTTACCAAGATTTAATTAAAATATCGTAATATGACATACAAAATAAAAATTTCAATAAAATTTTATAACAAAATGCGTAATCCGCTAATAAAATTTGTCAAGCAACAAACAAAAGTAGAAACAAAACAAAAACGTATTTAAGAGAATTTATCCAAAGCATTATTAACAAAAAATGTTTCACAGGTTTTAAAGATTTCTTTTTTTGTTTAAAACTTGAATGACATTAACTAACTCACCGTACCTTTGAACCCTTTTTGAAAAATATTCTATACTTTTAAACCTCGATATAAAATGCTGTATTCTGAACATTTGTTTTTCATCCATGGCAGTTTTATGTCTTCAACATATTCGCTCTAAGATTATAGTTATTATTTTTATTTAACTCAAACTTATTATTAAAGCTTATAGGAGAGATATTGTGATTGTGAGAACACATGAAAATTAAATGCTGGTAGATATTTATTTCAAATACATTCATCATTTTCATATCTTTCATCAAGGGATTAGCGTGTTCCTGCCTTTTTTAAAGTAAATGATTCTACAGGCATGCTTCTGAAAACTTTAAAGTTTATTAAGCTTTGCTGTATGAGTACTTGCCCGAGAAATGTTTGCATAGAAATATATATATATATATATATATATATATATATATACATATATATATATATATATATATATATATATATATATATATATATATATATATATATATATATATATATATATATATGTATATATTTATATATATATATATATATATATATATATATATATATATATATACATATATATATATATATATATATATATATATATATATATATATATATATATATATATATATATATATATGTATATATATATATATATATATATATATATATATATATATATATATATATATATAAATGAACAAAAAATATACAAATATTTGATTTAATAAATAAAAAGAAACCGGGCACTTGCAAAAGACCATCAATTTCTCATCAAGAACCATAAATTTAAGTCTCTTTAATTAAATTAAATTTAATTTAAATTCGCATCAAGAACTTGTAAATTTAAAAATCTTATAAATTTTAAATGCATACATACATGGTTAAGTATATCTTTATGCACAATAAAAAATTAGATGCATTTATATACATATTCAATTGCATCACTGCATAAAATATAAAAAAGTAATTTATTTAATGTTTAAAAATACAAAAATATATCATTAATTGACAAAATGATTTCCATTACCTTTTTTTGAATGAAAGGTAACTTTATGACAAAGAAAAACCAAAATGTTTTAAAACTATTTTAATCCAAAGAGAAGCTCCACAAAATGAAATGCTTGATTTTCAAAATTAGTTTGAATGAATGTTTGATTTCCAGATTTATTTTGGTAGAATGGTTGACAAATTAAATTATCATTTCTTAAGTTGTATTTATTTTTAACTTTTAAGGTATACAAATTAAAGAAAAAAAGTTGGAGTTAGTTTTACATTAGCACATATAACAAAGAATTTTAAAAAACATTTAGCTGATTTTCATTTCAAATAAGAATTTTCATTTTAAATAAGAGGTGCTTTAAACAAGAACTTTAATTTGAAATAAGAGAGGCTTGGTGTGTGTAAATTTATCTTTAAAATTACTTAGACAAGCAACATACTTTTGTTGACTATAAAGAGGCCTAATTTGGATTTATTTGCACTACGCCAAGCAAAAAAATTTCTTTTAACTCCATAATATTCAAGGTTTTTTAGGAGATTTTTATGATTATTTGTATTAAAACTATTTGATAAATCTTTGAAAACTCTCAACGTGAATTAAGAATTTTCGAAAGTTTTAGAAATATTGCCAATAACTTAGATTATTGCATGTTCTGTTAACTTTTTTTTTTTTTGAATCGGTTGTAACTAAAATATAGCATATCATTTGAAGAAAGGTGATCATAAACTACGTTATATAAAATTCTCTCTAAAACTTTAGCAAAAAGAAATTGGGCGATAATTAAAAACATTGTTTGCAGCTTTGAAAATTGGTGACAATTAACCTGTTTTTAGAAAATCATAAAAATGCCCTGTTGTATTGAGTAATGTAAAACTTTATATAGTACATCTTCTAGGGGTTCATAAGACTCTATGACAATATTACCGTTTATATTATCATGGTCAGCTGGTTTACTGCACTTAAGCATTTTAAAAGATTGCTCAATTTCTTCGTAAGATAATTCATAAGATGTTAAAAGCGAAGTAATTGGAAAATCATACTCATCTTTTTCTTTGTCACAAGAGGAGTTTTATTAGCAAAGCTCGGGCCAATAGAAACAAAAAATTTATTTAATTCACTACCACTGTGTCTACAATTCGTTTACAAAGCCTTTTCATCTCAAGTAAATTTAAGTAGTACAGTTTTTTTAATTTTTTCTTATATATATGCGTATATTTATTTGTATATTTATAACTAACTTTTTACCAGAAGACTTGCATTGCAAAAAATTCCATTCAATGTCCATTTGCCTATCTTAGCTACAAAATAATATCTAAAGCAAAAACGTGCTTAGCCTAGGTTTTATAACCATCAAATAAGTCAAGTCTTAAATAATATGTAACTATTTTTTTTGTGGAACCACTACCTAGTTATTGGACAGTTGACTAATAACATCCAACTAACAAAAAAATTTTTGACTTTAATTAAATATGGTTAAGGCTAACCTTTTTAGTAAAGTATTTTGCTGTGTTACTAAAAAAGTAAGTGTAATTATATCAATTAAAGTTTATTTATTATATAAAGTAGTTAAATTAGTTTAATAAGTATCTCAGTTCATTTCTTTATAGGAGAATAAAACAAATGAGAACTTCAACAAAATTTATTTAAAAGGATTTGGTACAGGTCTTTGGTGGGCAATCGTTACTCTCTCAACAGTTGGGTAAGCAATCTTTTTTAGATTAAAATTTACATATACTAAAATAATTGTATGAATAAAAAAGTAAATCTTATTTATAGTAAATTATTGCTAATATTTTTATAGACCCTTTTCGTTATTTTGATTTTGCGAAACACGTGCGCATGCGCAAGTCTTTGGCAGTCAAAACAAACAATTTCAGCGTTTTAATTGAATAAAGAAAAAGTAAACATTTGGTATTTTTTTATTATTTCCAATGCATCTAAAATATCGAAAGTTCGAAAGAATCAAGTTATTTTAAAACATTAGATGAAACCGACAAGTTTAAGTATGAAAAAAAAGCTTACTTTAAGTGACATAAGCACGCTACCAGATCCATACACATTGCTGGAAGTCTCTTGGAAAGATGATGTATCACTTTTGCCAGATATTTAGTGGGGCGATATATACACATATCTCATAAATACTCCGAGCCAATACACAAATGAGAATATGAAGGCTCATAAGTCCTATAAAGCATATAATTTTTTTTGCTTGTGGACATGTTCAAGATGTTTATTTTAATATTGTTAAAGAAGATGTTCAGTTTTGTTTTGTAAAATCGAAGGTAGGGAAAATAAATGTTTTAACGAAAACAATATATTTAATTATTATATTTTTATTGTATATATATATATATATATATATATATATATATATACATATATATATATATATATATATATATATATATATATATATATATATATATATATATATATATATATATATATATATATATATATATATATGTATGTATTTATATATATATATATATATATATATATATATATATATGTATATATGTATTATATATATATATATATATATATATATATATATATATATATATATATATATATATATATATATATATATATATATATATATATATATATATATTAATTTTAGGCGACCAATGAAAAATCAACTACCTTATTCAACACAAAATATCAAAAATCCTAAAAGAAATTACTCATTTTCTGAAAATGTTGTCAAGTTTACTAATAATAGTTTACATAAACTTAGGGAAATTGCCCAAGAAGCAGCTTTTTTTACAAGAGTAGTTGGTCTAGCATTAATATTGGATCATAGTTTTAGTGACAACACTGCAACTGCTGATGAAAACAATACAAATTTTTTACTAGAGCCAATTACTTCTTTGTTTGACAGTGATTCAAATAATCTTGACAAACTTTTGCTTGGAGAATTATGCTTATTGAAATTTAATGAATACAAGAACAGTTATTCTCAATGCAACTTTAACTTATTGGCAGAAGTAAGTAAAACTCAAAAACTGTCGAATACATGGAAATTACATCGATCTGGTAGAATTACAGCATCCAATTCCCATGAAGTTGTAAATAAAAAAATTACAAATTTCAAACCCTTTGCTATTCAAAATAATGAACTATGTAACTTCACCAAATGTAGCAAGTGTTATTTATGGAAGAGAAATGGAGGAAAAAGCATGTTGTTTTTATATTAAATTATTTTAAAAAAAACACAACAATTTCAAATTAGAAACAACTGGTATTTATATCCAAGCTAGTTATCCATATTTAGGAGCATTGCCAGATGGAATTATTAAATGTACACGCCACAATAAAGGTTTTGTAGAAATCAAGTGTCTCTACAAATATCGCAAAGGTTTAAGTGGTCGGAAAGAGGATAAAGGTTTTCCTGTAAGTGAAAATGGTGATTTAAAAACAAGCCATAAATATTACACCCAAATACAAGAACAAATGATGATTTTAGAAGTAGAATTTTGTGACTTTTTTATTTGTACACCCTTAGAAAGTGAAGAAAATTACCTACTAGTTAGAGTTTATCGAGATGAAAAATTTATTAATGAGATAAAGCACGCATTACTATTGCAAATGTATACGCTAATGCTTTAAACCAATGATTTCATGCAATAAAGCTAGTTTTGAAATAGAATGGTTTCACTACTCATGCGTTAATGTAACTCTTGCTCCTAAAGAATTTTGGATTTGTCCAAATTGTTTGAAATATTATTTTGTACTATTTAGTTTGAAAATAAAAATTTATTATTAGACATTTTTTATTTCTGTATTACACTTTTATTTAAATTTATAAGTCCAGATACTAAAATCATTATACTATCAAGAAAATCAACCTGGCTTACAGGTATAGTTGATGTTAATAGTTGATATTTTTTTAAACGCCTAATAACTCTTTCTATATTGATTCTCACACGAGCAATTTGACGAGATAAATCAATGTCTTTTACAGCCATTTAATTTTTACTTTTTGTAAATGCTGGTATGATTAACACAGCTCCTCTTGTTGCTAATTCTTCTTCCACTAAATATCCTCTTATAGATAAAATACAATCACCGTAACAAACTTTATCTAAAAAACCTGGCTCAATTGTGATCAGTTTGTCTGATGCTCGACCACCCCATCCAGATAACAAAAAAGTTACAGCGCCAAATGATGTTATTCCAATGAAACATTTAATGATATTAGGTGATTTATAGGTAGAGTAGGTTTGAGCCCTAGCTGTTAAGTTATGCGGCCTTTTTATAAATATTTCAGTGCAATCCATTTTACATGCACAATTTTTAAAGTTTGCAAAACAACATGGAAAGTTTGCTCTTATAGCAGCTCGTTCAGGCCACACAATTAAATTGCACAATACATTGGCTAATTTTTTTATCCATAAGCAAAATATTTTTGATATGACTTCTTTACTTATGTTAAATCTCAAAGCTAAATCTTTATTTTTATGTCCAAGTCTTGACTTTATTAATACAATTAATAAATGGTTTTCTAAGGACATTGTTTTAACAATAGGTTTTACACAAGATTTAACTTCTTGCAAAATCCATTTAAGCAAAGCTGGTTTGCTATTTCCAGTTAAAAATTTTAATACTTTTTCTTTAATATTAATATAGTCAATTATCTTTTTCTTTGTAAACTTTAATTGTCTTTGACATTTTTTTAACTTTTGTTTTAATTTTTGTATTTCAAATATCATTTTTTTCAAAGTTTGTTCTAGTTCTTTTTTTTTTGTTACAAATACTTTATGCTTATATTTTACAATACTAATAATACTTTATACTAATATGCAAATAACACTACGAATAAATTCTTCCAAAATTTTTTTTTTTTCAAAAAAACAATTAGTTTAAAAGTTAATCAACACATAAATAAAGTTCAGTAACACCAATTAAGAGAAATTTAATTAAAATTTTTTTTTTTATTGTTTTACCTATTTTAACAGCTCTTTGGGTTATCTTGTTCTCTGAAGGATAATTTAAACAGTCCCCTTTAATCAACTCATTAGTTTCTGTCTCGTTAAATAATCCAACTTTGTGAATTTATAATATAGTTCCATTACTAGAAAGAGTTCGCTGCCTTTTTATTTGATCGCTTATATCGTTCTAAAGAAACTTTAATTTGTTTTCATGTGTCTTTTAAAAGAAAATACAGTTGGAACATAATTAATATGATAGGGATCATTAGATTTTTCCCTAAAAAAAGATGATTATCAGTTAATACAAAAGTAAGAATAGTAATGTTTTAAATCAAAGAGTTTAGATTTTATTATTTTAATTTAAGTATAAAAAATACATGAAAATTATTAAAACATAAAAAATACTGAATGAAAAACTTAAAGTCTTACCTGTCGTAAAATGAGCACTACACAAACGAGCATTACTTATTTATATTACATTCCATATTTCTTTTTTAACTGCTGCAACCCATTTTCCTCTTCTCTTAACACTAGATTCAGATTTGTTAGCTGGTATTCGATAAAAGCTCAAATGAGCATTAGCTAATGTTCTTCTTTTGTACATCTAAAGGCACAACACACATCAGGCATATTATTTTATAAATATAAATGAATATTATAAAAATTTTGTTTAAATTAAACCTTTTACTCCTATATTATTTATTATAAGACACTAGTTAATATTTACTGTTTAGCTCTAAAATCAATTTGTTTTAACTGCCAAAGACGCGCGCATGCGCATTTGTTTCGCAAAATCAAAACAACGAAAAGGGGTCTATACATGTTTATTTTACAACTACAAAGTATTTACAAACAACCAATCGTAAAAGATATACAAATATAAACATCATAACCATAAAGTTCAAAATGTAATCAAAAAATATAGTTGCATACAACTCCGACACATAAAAAAATTAAATATCAAATTCAACATTTTAATAACGTAAACGTTATTATATGGTTGTGTAAAATAATCCCAGAAATATATCTCTATATTCTTCCAATTAAATAAAAAATGCATTAAATAAAAATAAATCTGGTGATTTTTTTGAGGAGTCTTAAGTTATTCAGATTTAAATATTTATTTTGGAGAGTGTTGAGATTTACATACTTACTTTTATATATATATATATATATATATATATATATATATATATATATATATATATATATATATATATATATATATATATATATATATATATATATATATATATATATATTATATATATATATATATATATATATATATATATATATATATATATATATATATATATATATATATATATATTATATATATATATATATAAAAGAAAAAAAAGCCAAGCAAAACAACAATTTTCAAAAAATGAATCAATTTTTTATATTAAAATACTACTAAGAAAATATTAAATAGTACTAGAGGCGTTTCAGTATTGATCATCAGTAGTACTATTGCAAATGTAATTATCATGATTTGGATTCATGTAAAAAGTTATATAATAGAAGTATTTAATAGCAGTTTTTGTAACTATGAGTTACCATTGTTGTGTTATTATAAAAGGATGTATAAGTTGAAGGTGTCATGTTTTTGTTTATGCAGATAACTTTCATAGGTCAGTAAATCATTTTCATTTTTTAATTTGAGAAAAACAAAAAGCTGAAAAAATGGCTCCGTAGTTGTTTTGTGTACTTTTTTGCAATCATATACATGATTGTCGAATCTATCTATTAAATTGCCAGTTTTGCAACTGGTAATATGTCCATTTTTGCGGTTTCTTA